CGCCACCACCGCCCGGCCAGTGTTAAGTTTTATACATGAGGATCTCACCTAGAAGCCCAGGGGAGCAAGCCACACACACACATGTTCACATTGAGCTGTGGAACCTATTTCAGATGGCAGGCTGCCAGAACTAGAAGATCATATAGTCTGTTTAAGACACAGATTAGTGATACATACAGTTGTGTATTCTATTCCTTCTTATAAGTATCAAAACTCATACTGAACAATGAGTCCCGGGTCCCCAAAGAGGGTTTAGTTTTACACCTGTCTTTCGGGTCTTTGTCTCCCAGTTGATCACAAACTTTTCTATAATAGCCATCGGACACTAATACTACATCAAGAGACACCCAGGGGTGCTGTGAGAATTTTTTATCTAGGGAGTTATAAGGCCTACATACACCTTATGAAAAACCCAGTGTAAGTTCTACCAAAGTTCACTTCGGGGAACCAGTAAATATACTGGACTTACTTACATCCTTTCGGTGAGTGGATGCTGGCAGGAGCCTCAGTGACTCCAGCACAACCACACTGGAAAGAGATGAGGAATACAGCTATAAGAGAACAGTAGAATTGCTAGAGGAAACAGATGCCAATGTGAATAGAAAAAGGCAAGGAATGATAAAGCAAATACATAATTTAAACAGTAGTTTTTAAATATGGCACAAAAATAATGGATATAATTTGCATGGTATAAAAAAATAAACCCTGCTTCAGTTGTACCACAAAACAGATCCTGGTGTGTGTTGAGCCCTGAATTAGAATACTGTTAGTTCCCCCTCAAAAAAAATCTAATATTCTCTCTGTGTTTTTATAGTCATATAGCTAAATAAACAGAAAATGATTTCTCTGAGCAACGTGAGTCTGTTGTTATAAAAATGCCATTACATTCAAGTAAGACTGATGATAAAGCACACTCTAGATATTCCCTATAATAAGTCTGAGCTCTAAGGAAGAAGAAAATATTAGCAAACTTCCAGGCTACATTGAAAATATTTTCAATAAATAAAAGGAAATTGAACTGATCTGAGGGATCTCATTTTAACACTGTAAGAGGTGGTTGTAATAATATCTATAGACAGCAGGAGAAACCATTGATATCAGCACAGTCCTCTGAGATATTATTTCTTTATCAAAATAAAAGAAAATTTTGTGGTTACCAATAAGTATTTTAGAGAATTTGACCCAAATAATTTTCCTGAGGAAATTATTCAAGAAAGGACTGATAGATAAGTCTCAAATGGTTCAGAAGAACTAGGATGCTGATGGAAGACCATGCACTGTCTTGGGTGCCTAAGAGAGCCTCTGACGAGGAGAATTACAGAAAAAGGAACAATTTTGTGTGGAAAAATGAAGCACCTCATAATGCCATATAGTTTTCAATTATGTGTTTGCTTTTATAAAAAATAAATAGGTATTTTTATACATATATATTTTAGAAAAACATAATTGCTGAATTAACAAGTGGAAATTAGAATAAATGTAAAAGGCAGTGGCAAGAACAGCTACATTAAACTACAATGAAATGAAGTGCTAAATAAAATGTAGAAATAAGAAATAAAATCGAATATGTCAGGGAATTTCAATAAATATGAACAGACTTCATTGTCCTGCACATTGGGTTTTTATATAGCCATGAAGAAGGTTGAAATCATGTCAAAAACAAATATTGCATGCCATATATGGAATATACACATTTGAGAGTAGGTCAGATACTTACTATTCAGGAAAAAAAAAGGTGACTAGAGAGAATAGAAAAAAGGAAGGACAGGAAAGGGTAATGGAGAGAGAATATGGTCAAAATTCATGAAACACTTGAATGAAAATCATCTGTGTGTCATGATTAATTGCTCACACACACACACACACACACACACACACACACACACACACACACACACACACACAGAGAGAAAGGAGAGAGAGAGAAGGAGAGAGAGAGAGAGAGAGAGAGACAGAGACAGAGACAGAGACAGAGACAGAGAGAAAGACAGAGAGATTGAGAAAAGGGAGTTCCAGGTAGATAGCTCACTGGGTAAAACCATGATGACCTAAGTTTGATCCCTGAAATCTACATACAACGTCCTATGCAGTATTTGCAGTCTCAGTACAGCAATGGAAAATGGAAGCAGAGGTAGGAGAATTATCTGGAAGCTTCCAGACTAGCAAGTGTGAAGTACGCAGCAGAAAAAAATGCAACAAAGAAAACATTTAACAAGAGAGACACTGCTTTGAAAACAAGTTACAAGGGAAAGGGCCAACTCCTGGAGGTTCTGTGATTTTACATAAGCTCAGTAGCATGTATACCAGAACTCCCATGTTCATCATACACATATACATATACCAGAAACATACATACACATTACACTTGAGTTCAAATGATAAACAAAAGACACTATCAAGTAGGTCAATGAACAAAATTCATCTATATGTTCTTTATAAGAAATATGGGCAAGAATATTGTTAAAGAAAAGTTAAAAACCAAAGATCATCTGAACAGACAGAAAGGCTAACAAAGTGAATATGAAAAATATAATTTAACATTCAAAGGATAGACAATAAAAAATATAATATGATTTAACATTAGCAGCCAACCGGTAAGTCAGTGGAAAAGAGTGAAAACCTAGAAACAATTTCTCATATGCATGGTAAATTTACTTTCATCAAAAATTTCATGGTAATGCAATCAAAAACATAAAAGTATTTTTAAGCCACTATACTGGAAGAACTTGATCTAACCATGTTATTTACAAATCTAGTATACAGTTAATGAAAATATATTTCAGAGACAAACCAATAATTAAATGTCAAAGACTGATACAAGAAAACCTCAACAAATTATTGGTTTTTTTGAGTTATTTGTTTTCTGTGTTTGTGCATGTGTGTGCCATTGTACACAGGTGTAGGTAAGAGGATCGCCCATGGGAGATGGTTTTCTCCTCCACCTATGGATTACAGAAAGAAAACACAGGACAGCATGCTTGGCCCCACTGTCTTTCTTGCTGTACCATATCAAAAACTCTGAGTAAATTACTTCTGAACTTATCTCATAATCTGTTTGGAGGTGGTTATAATTTCATAGCATGACTAGGAAAGAAATAGGGCCTAGGACATAGTGGTGGAGCATTTGCATGGCAAGTACAAAGCCATATGTTCTATCCCAGAGCTACAAAACAGCCACAACAAAAGAAACAACAACCAGCCTACATATTGGGCATACGTTCATATGAAGCAAGAGCCAATGGAAAAGCATTCAAAGCCAAAACTGTAACAACCCAAACCAGGCATATAAAGTGATGTTAAATTGAATTGGATATACAAATAAAAATCATACATATTAATTGGTATAAATAAGCAAAAAAGAGAAGACATAAAATTCTCATGTGATAGAATTCCAAATTTTTGATGTAGACACTCTCGTCCCAAAGAAATAGTGCACAAATGGCCACTGCTTGCAAGTGGTGTAAGCGTAACAGTCTCTATTTCCAGATTACAGTGTGAAAAAGCAGGTGATATATGTGGACTGCTCAGTTATTTTGTCAAGGTGACACAAGCTGGAATCATGTGGCAAGAAAGAACTTCAAGTAAGAATGCACCTCCATCAAATTTTCCATATGCATGTCTGTGCAGCATTTTCTTGATTAATGATAGGTGTGGAAGGGCCCACTGACAGTGATACCACCCCTGAGTGGGGTGTTCTGGGTAATATAAGAAAACAGCTGATCCAGCTATAGAGAGCAAGCTAATAAGCAGTATTCCCTCTTGTGATGTCAAATACGTTTGAGTTTTCTTTGTATTGCTGTGATGAAGGTCATGACCAAAAACAATTTGAGAAGACAAAGACTTATTTAATCTTACAGCTTGTAGTCCATCAAGAAGGGAAGTCAAGGCAGGAACCAGAAGAAAGAGAGGCCATGGATATTTATGCTAACAGCAAATGATTATAGAGAAAGTATAGATAAAAACATATATATTTGATGTAATGGGTTAATTCATTAGCTAGCACACAATATGTAAAACATGAAATATATAAATAATGCAATTTATTTCAAATTAAGATTTTTTTCAAATGGTGACCATGAACAATAATGAAAGTTTAGCAGAACAGATGCAGAAGGTCTTTACAACTCGTGGTCAGATGGGAACTGGAGTCCAGTAGAGTTCACGGCATTTACATGAGTGTCCAGGGCTAATGCACAAGCTAACATTGGTCTCTACAGTTGCATCCATTTTTCCTTATTCTTCTTTAGGACTAAGATAATTCCCATTCTATATATGCACCTATTCTTTGTCCAGCAAGTGTCTCAGTGATAAGATGACTTAGAATCCTTCTGTTACAGATCCAGGAGGGATAGAGCTAAATCCACTAATTCTCACAACCTATGAATCCCAATGTTAATTCTGTAGTTTTCTTTTGCTTGCCTTTATGTTCATGATTTTTGAAAAATAAAAAATGTGTTTGGGCATTTAGACAGAAAGACATTCACAATTATACTTCACTTCTATGGGTTTAATTGAAGGACATGTTACCTCGATTATATGATTGCATGTCACATGGTTTAAAATAGCCATGTGTCATTGAACTTGAGAAGACATAACCATGTCTGATTATTTCCCCCAAGAAAGCAGAAATCATCACCCGAACAAATTTGTTTTCTTCATCAGTGTCTGGAGAGATTTTGACAAAAGAAAGATTGACAATTTGATTTCTCTTTTGTGAGGTGTGTGATTATGCATACTTATATCTGTGTGATATATGTGTATCTGTGTGTGGTTTGTATGTCTCCCTGTAAGTATCTTGGGGTGTGCACACACTAATGCACTGTTTGTGGTGTATGTGTCTGTGTGTGATGTATGTCTACATGGATACCTGTGTACAGTATGTGTATTTGTGTGTTTATGTGTATGTGCCCCTGTGTATATTACTACATGCATGTGATGTGTGCCTGTGTCTGTGTCCCAGTATGTAATACATGTGTCTATATGTGTCTCTCTGTGTGGTATGTCTTTGTGTGGTTTGTGCGAGTCTCTGTGTAGTGTATCTGTGTGTACCCCTGTGTGTGGTGTGTAGCATATGTGCCCTTGTGTGACTGTATGTGTACACTTGTGTGGTATGTCTTTGTGTGGTGTGTGAGTTTCTGCATGAATGTATGTGGTGTGTCTGTGTGTACCCCTGTTTGTAGCATGTAGTGTATGTGCCTGTGTGTGTATGTGCCCATGTATGTCTGTATGTGCACACCTGTGTGTGTGGTGTGTATGGTGTCTGTGTCTGTGTCTGTTCAATATAAACTGAGTGAATTTTATGTATAGTTTTGATTCTGG